GCACTACCATACACAGCGTCACGCATGTGGCTCTGTGTAATATCGCACACGTGAATATGCTACATTGGAATACAACGACTACTGTCTCGCGAAACATCGACTGTTTTCGAAAGCCTGAACTGGACATTTGCGATACACATTACTCCCGTCTCGGGTCTTTTCGAGGTCTAAGATGTGCTACAGTCGACTGCCCTTTCTCGCACATTTGTTCGATACGTGTTACAGTTTCCGATGCACAAAAGCCCCTGCTACGCATTCGTGTGTGTGGAAACCCTGCTTTCGAAAACTGAACTGTCGACCCTTTTTCGTCACTGGTTTCTTCTTTTTATGCAACTCAACCAAGATTTTTTCGAATTTTACTGCCGAGTTTTCTAAAATTTTGCATTTCGTGTTTTCAGTCGATTGCTGCAAAGCAATTTCTTTTATGATCCCCCGCTTCAGATGGTTTGTCCTAACATTGAAGTTTGCTAGTGGAATATATTCATTTATCAGAGTTTCGTCGGATTGAAAAGAGTGATACAATTACCTGTACAACTATAAAACCACCAAGACATTACACTTTGCGACATGACACTACACAATATAATCCATGCAGAGATTAATAACTATTCTTAAGAAAGAACTGTACTAATAGGTTCAAAATTAGGTATGAAATCAAGGTATGATAGTGAAACCGATAGATTTTATATTTTTTATTTGCCCGGCTTAACATGACAAACTAATTTATTCTTATTTTCAATCTTTTCAATCAAATGAAAATTGTTAAGGAAATATCCGAATTAAGTTGTAATCAAAATGCGTATTACTACTTGTGTATGTGTGTATGGACCAAAATGACACTTTGGGCAATATCGCTCCACTCCTTCTGGTACCTACCCCACAAAAAATCGAAATTTTCAAAAAATATATATTTTTTTTGCACTGAAAGAGAACCACTAATCCGATTTTGCTCCAACTAATATATTTGTGTCAGTTCTCGGTCAGGTGCAAAAATGGATAATATCGGTACGCCTCCCCACAAAGGCTAAAAATTTTGAATAATTACAACTCTTATAAAATGTAATGTGTAAGAGTCCAATTGCCTTCAAATTACACACATCCCAATATTTTTATCAACCCAAGATCTCTTTGCCAAGATTTCTTTTGCTAACTGCCCCCTCTCTTTCAAATATATCCAAATAATAATTTTAAATAAGCATCCAACTCTCTTCAAATTTCACACATACAAACATTTTTGCTAATACAATGTCTGTTGTGAAGATGATATATGTCTGCGAACCCCTTCTGACACCTCACTCACAAAGGGTCACAATTTTCAATACTTTTATCTGTGAAACAAGACGGCGATTTTTTACAACTTGCTATATCTAAATACTTCTCTCAACCAGAAACCTGAGGCGAATATGGAATTTATAATTTCCCATAAATTGGATATAAATGTTCGATTTTCTTGTAACTTTGCCCTTACCAATATTTTTATATGCATTAGATGATGCATGAAAATGGAATACTTCGATCGACTATACCTGATACCTCACGCACACATTAACATTTTCTGGAAACTATCACATGTGTCATGTAAAGTGAGGGAAGGTACAAATATATTCCAAACCTGGCACGTCGCACTATTAATATCATATTTATTTAGGTCCGATACGAAATGGACAATATTTACCATTCCTTTAGAACCCACTTCTAGAGAGTCAACAATTTGGATAATCATAACAGAAGCCGAAATATATTTAAATAATCGAACAATGGCTGAGGGTATACGGCTGTCGGCACAACCGATTGATACTTTTTAACTTGTTTTGAATAGAAATATAGACTTTTCATTCATTATACGTGTTTTTTGTTTATATATTCTAAACCAATGCAACAAGGTGTTTTGTTTATTTCATAATAATGACATTACAATCCATGCAGGCAGACCTCTTTATTTGCCAAAGTTTCCAAAATCTTCATTGTACCATGGTTACAGCCCATCATATCGGTATCGCCCGAATTTCCGTATTTTGCATTTCTACGGCCGAAATACAAGTAATTTCGCTTTTGCGTTTTTCGAGGGTAGGGAACCTCCTGTCAACAGGCACTTTTCCGCATAGCTCCAAAATAACATCACTCCATAATTTTAAAGCCTTTGACTACGATTTCTGACCGATTTCCTTGGTCCGATTTCAAGTTTTTGAATGAAACATGCTCGATGCTTCTATTTTCAAAGTTTTCTTTTACCTCATGGTAGGTGGAGTCAAAAGTTCGTGCCGCCTTCTTTAGTTCTTAAATCATAACTGTCCTTAAAAGAAGTTATTTTTGAAAAGGCTAATTTCCTAAGGGGAAAATTGTTTATAACTGCTCTCCCCAGAACTGCAGGAATATACGATGTTTACTACGATAACCGATCTTCCCTTTAAGATATCGATATACCTTGCACGATATGCATAGAGCAAATAATTGTTACAATTAGTTGAGTATTGAATATTATTGAATATAAATGTCCTTGCTTCAGTTTTTATAGCGAAGTTTGTTGTTGAGGTAGAACACAACCACTATGCATTTACGTTCATTGTTATTAAAGAAAACATGCATTTTGTCGCGTCTTTGCAAATTTCTCTCTCTCTCTCTCTTTTGCTCTCTCTCTCTCTGACATATAAAAGCATGCTGGTCAGAAATAATGCATTTTTGATTTGTTGAATTGGCCGCGATGCTGGAGTTGATCAACTATTTGAGGATAAATGTGATTTAAACTTCTAAATTCTACAATTTAATGGAAATGTTATTGAAGGGCAAACCTTCATGTTCTGCTCCAACGATTGCGCGTTTCAAGATATGAAATAATTCAATTTTGGTGCTTTTTAAGCAAATTAATTTATTTTAAGTGAGAAATTAATATTCCCAAAATAACCAGCTCCATTTACATCTTCAGCACGAAATATGTGGAGATGTGTATGTGTGACTTCTATCTTTGTTATAACAGTGCCGCATTTTGAATTCAGCTACGAAGTGTTTATGTGCGCTTGCTTTGTAGACATTAGGGTGTGCTGCTAAAATTGATGTAGCACTGAATATCTAGCTAAAACAATTCCATATACTTTCCAACATGCGCAGAAGAATATTACTCATATTTCGATATTTTGGAAAGAATAATGTTTGCATTTTGTGTTGATATTGTGACCAATCCGTGGCGTTGCATTCATTTTTCGCGATCTTCTCTAAATCTTCTCTAAATTCAAATACTGTGAGAATGAAATAAACAAAAGAAGCATTTGTTGTTAGTAAATCTCAAGTTTCCAGACTCTAGTATTTTGTAAATTTAATGAACACAATTTGGAGACTAGTCAAATTGTGTGCTTCGGTCACAAAGGGTACAACGTTGTGCACAATCTATTTTCGCAGCTTAATTTTGCGAGCGTCCTATTTTCAGTTAAGGCGACATTGCAAATAATTGCGTGCGCAACAATTGTCTCAACAGTTTATTATTCATCCATTTAATTATTTTATTATTCTAGTCCCCATTTTTGCAATGCGCAATGCAATGGCGTTGCCTCTACGCAAATATTTGATTTAAACTTCTACAACTGATGGGTAAAAATTGAAAAAAAAAAAAAAAAAAAAAAAAAATCAAAACATTTTGATCTTTCGTTCAACCGAGAGACAACTTCGTACGAGTGTGGCTTGCATAAGGCATGATTCTTTGACTTACGGAAATGTGAAATGACAACAAATATTTTCTTCATGATGCTTTTCATTTCACATTTCCATCGATGAAGACCTCGTTCTAAGCAGGGTGTAAAATTCTACGAGATTTTACTCTCCACTGTCGAAAAGGTATAGTGCGCAGATTTTCGAAATCAGTGTTCTTTGTGATCAAAGGAATATGATATGAACACAAAACTCCTTCAAAGTAGATATAAACATATATTTTTAATGGATTTTTCGCTTTTATTTGTCGGATAGTGTCGAACAAGCTACGGGACAAGCCAGTGTATGCATGCATACATTTGCCTAATTTAAGCAAGTTTTCGGGCTGGTGGTTCTGATGTGAGTGTTTTGTTTAAGAAAGTTGAAAAGATGCAGGAATCGTTATCCTTTGTTATGTTAAAATAAAAAGTTACATCGGACCGGCACGGAGGGGAGGAGAGGTGGGTGGGACGTGTGTGCTGTTCGTACTGGGGTGGGTGTGTAGGAAGTATCGACGCCGAAAGCAAATAATAAAATAGTTAATACAGCACCAAGGACACGTGTCTCATGACGCACCAACAATGGGACAGGGACTGGATTCAGAGAACTATTGTTGTGCGGATACAAGAGAAATTGAATAGAAATTGAATTAAAATTTTTAAGAGTCGTGATTGACAAAATTGCGGTGGGACAAAAAGATACGTTGGAACGCACGCGGCGTCTATTTTCTCATTTCGATAAATCTGGGATTAGGTTTGGCAAACTACTTAGGTATGCAACTGGTTGAGAGAGCTGGTCCTGTTCGGCTGATACGCGTACTGCAATTCACGATGAGCTGACACAGATTGCGTAAGACGAGGCGTGAATAGCATACTCGACCATGGACGATATCGACAACCAGTAATCAACCCTTCAGTCGTCAGTCGCCCTTTCATATGTGCGCGAATAGCTAGTGGATTAGCCGAGGCACTGTCTATTGAAGGGGCTTCGTTGTTTGACAGCCCCTGTCATCTTTGACACACAGACGTTAAACAGTGACAGCATGCGATCTTGTCATCTAATCATCTAACGGGAATGTAAATGGAAATCAATTGTTCTGTGGCCTCCTGCAGTGACCCGAATGGCGTTCGTATTGCCGTTAATCGCCCGTTGCCAGCCACCAAACGGTGGGTGGGTGGCTTCCCATTTTAATTTCGAAATGACAAACACACAACCACCGATTATGGCTTTCGGTTTGAGGCAGTCGCAACAAATGACAATCTACGCAAAGACCACAGCTACATACGGATTAATATTGCCTAACTATTCGAGCGGGTACTTACCTAAGCGTTTGGATATTTCGGAATTGTGCATTTTTGGATTGTCCTGGGCAATTTTGCGGCGTTGTAGGCGAGACCAGACCATGAACGCGTTCATTGGACGTTTGATATGTTCCTCGTTTTGTCGTTTCGTTGTGTTCTGTATCATCAGACTGAAGAAAACATCGCTAGAAACATGAGAGGGGTGAATGAGGCAGAAATAACTACTTGGGAAGGCTGAAATTCGCAACGGATGCACTTACCTGGCACTGCCGCCAGTATTCATCAGGGAACCCATGTTCTGGTGTAGATTTGTCATTTGTGATGTCTGCGAAGTGTGGTGCAGGTGGGCTGCGGCAGCGGCAGCCATAGCGGAGGTATTTGACGACGAAATCGCTGACGATGTCGCCGAGGATGGACCGGACGGGGTTTCCCCTGCAATGTGGTTGTGGACGAGATTATTGGGCAGGTGTGCCGTCAAATGGTCGCCCGGCCTGAGCGGTAGTGCTCTCCCTGAGCCAGCCAGGGAATGGGAATGCACCGAGGCGGAACTGTTGTGGTGCAAAGATCCTCCGCCTTGCAGGTGGGTCGTGTGGTGAGCGTGATGCAGTATATAATTATGGGCGGGGGATATTTGCTGATTGCTTTGCGATACCGCAGGAATGTTCGCCACTGTGTTGGTGCCAGAGGACAACGTTGTGGACGGCGAGGTTGTGTGCTGGCTCTGCAAACCGCACAGGGAGTTTAGCGAGAGGTGACCGTTGCTGCCCTGCTGAATGGTCGCTTGGTTATTGTGATGATGGTGGTGATGCACTGCGGCCGCCAGTTGTTCGATGTGACTTCCGGCTGCTGCACCGACAGTCGAGCTATTGCCAAAATGGTTCGAGAGTGTCTGACCCGACGATATGGAAAGTGGATGCGCTATGGATATCCCAGATAGTGAAATCGATGGAATATGTTCCATCATTCTGTGCGCAGAAGCACCTTGTCAGTCTTCTCTAATAGACACCTTGCTGCGCAGTCCAAAGTTCGGATTCTCTGTGGCCCAACACTGCAAACAAAAGAGTAAGAAAAACAAAAACAATGGGTCAAATCATGTCCACAACTTGGCATTCAACGGCGTGTCAGTAAACAGAGTTGTCGATCTTTTAATTGCCTTCAATTTGTCATTCTTCCAATCCCCCCCCCCCCCCCCCCCCTCTCTCTAACAAAGCCTAGCCCCCGGCATAGGAAGAAGTGTGCGTTAAACAGAAAACAAATACGACCAATCCGCCACTGATTTATGACCCAGGCTTATTAACATAACAAAGCGACACCTCTGCTTCACACCAGCAAAGGCCTGGAACGTTTGTCTTTTGTTAAGCGAGGCACAACAAGCGCAAAATGATCGCCAACTAGCACTGATTTATAAAACCCCATTCCTAAATCAGTATGAGGTTTGACAAAACTTTCAAAATATGTTGATAACACGCTGTAATCTAATCTCAAATCCTTTTAAACCACCACTTTGTCATCGAGCCCCCACAATAGGCCCTCTCATCCATACTAATTATTATTAATTGTCATTTCACGACCCAACACCATTCGTTCGAAGCCAAAACAAACAGCGACACATCGACATCGGTGTGTCAGTTTGCTGTGTCTAGAGTATGGCGACAACCTCAGCCATCTGTCCCAGTAACCTGTTCATGCCTATCTGATCATGCTCACCAAAACGTAAGAGCTGTCAAGACATATTTTTAAGCCGACGTAAACTTAATTTTCTGACGGAACCACTTACGCTCAGACACACAGAAACAATCACAAAAATTTGAATCGTTCCCTACCGGAAAGCAGAGTCCGATTCGAAGGATCAGAAAGGAGCCTTGATTTGATAGTTGTGACCAAGAAAACCTCGACATTTAACGGTACCATTAGGTCGTATTATTCGTTGATCTTAATGAGGTTACTTTCCTTGTGTGTGTGTTCAAAATATGGCAAAGTTACTGTAGGGAGCATAAAACCTCAAGCTGGAGTTATTTTAACCCAAGACAGAAAACTGTAAAGATTGGACAAAATGCACATTGCCTTCTAATGTCTCGATCAAGCAATAGATGGTCGGCGACATGCCAAAAATGCATTAACAAATATGTTATTCTGACCTATCTCATTATATGCCTTTGTATTCAACCACCAAAAATATTCTTTCAAAAACTTTTATTATTTGGTAGGTTTACCTTTATTATTTGGACGTACGTATGCTATGTCGGAAAAGCATGCCATATACGTCAGAATTTCTGACAGACCATCTATGTTTAATGCTATGTTCTCATTGCACTTTTAATCATGTTGTTCGCTCTCAGAATTAGGTACACGAATTAACCCGTTTATACGGCATGATTCGTAATTCATAGTAAAATGATTCCTTTTTTCAAAAATTTTGTCCGTTTATTTTAATGGCAATTTATTCGAAAATATATGGAATTCTCACACATATGAATAGAAAAGATTGTTGTTTCTATTCTATTCTCATTCGTGTTTTCAACTTTTTGTGTAAATGTTGACCAAGGCCTATGTAAGGTCGGTCAGGAAGCGAATTGGTAAAAAATACAGCTCTGTCTGTTAATTTTAATGTCAATTTTTTAAACCTACCAAATAATAAGAGTTTTTGAAAGAATATTTTTGGTGGTTGAATACAAAGGCATATAATGAGATAGGTCAGAATAACATATTTGTTAATGCATTTTTGGCATGTCGCCGACCATCTATTGCTTGATCGAGACATTAGAAGGCAATGTGCATTTTGTCCAATCTTTACAGTTTTCTGTCTTGGGTTAAAATAACTCCAGCTAGAGGTTTTATGCTCCCTACAGTAACTTTGCCATATTTTGAAGACACACACAAGGAAAGTAACCTCATTAAGATCAACGAATAATACGACCTTAACGTTTACCAACCAACTTGGAAAGTATTATGTGGGATATTATAGTATTTTAGAAGTTTATGACATTTTATACCTTTTCTTTCTTTTATACCTTTTATACTGGTATATGACGTTTACAACTTTCGACAGTCGAAAACCTAAAAAACTGTCAAACAGACCATATCTGACTTTAAAGAACTTTAACTATCTTGCCAAATATTAATAATTAGGCTATTGTCCATGCTTTCTATAAATTGAACAACACCCAATTTTGGAGGTAGTCATTGCCTTCTTCTGTATGCTCTGAACACTTCGACGTTGTTATGTGGTGATATCTGGAAGAGAATATCGTCGCGAAAATATTCTGGAGGGTGTATGAATGCCTTGGGCACGCAAACATTTTGGTCGCAGATCTTGGACATTCCAGCAGGACTCTGTACCATCGCACTCAGCACGCGGCACCCAAAAATGGTTACAAAATGAGGTTCCTCGCTTCATTTCCAGCGCACAATGGCCACCAAAATCTCCGGATACCATTCCGTTGGACTATTGTGTCTGGAGTAATTTGCAACGCAAGGTTGGCACCAAAAATACCAAAGTGTCGATCACCTCAAGCCAGCGCTTCGCCGGGAATGGGCCAAAATACCGCAGAGCAACATTCGGGCAGCGTGTGACGGTTTCATTGGCCGTTTGAAGGCCATAATTCGTGCCAACGGTGACCAATTCGAACAAATTTAAACTTATTCTAAAATTTGAATCCGACACTTTATGCTTACATTCAATCAAATTAAAAAAAAAAAACAAATTATGGCGTTTGACTTTGTTGCAGTTTTTTATCACTCTGTATGAATAATTTATAGGTATAACATAACCTCCGCCACAAAGGGTCAACATTTTGAATAATTTTATCTCTCATAAAATGCATAAAAATCATACCTCCCACACAGAAGTCGGCATTCTGATACATGGTATTTTCCTCTTGGTTTTGTTTTTCTTTGTTGGCAATTAACAAATTTGTGCGCAATTAACAATTTCGCCTGGATAAAAATAAAAAATGTCATTAAAATTAACAGACAGAGCTGTATTTTTTACCAATTCGCTTCCTGACCGACCGTACATAGGCCTTGGTCAATATTTACACAAAAAGTTGAAAACATGAATGAGAATAGAATAGAAACAACAATCTCTTCTATTCACATTTGTGAGAATTTCATATACTTTCGAATAAATTGCCATTAAAATAAACGGACAAATCATGCCGTATAAACGGGTTAATTCAGAGCATACAGAAGTCGTTGCTTTAAATTCTACCTGGCAAACGTTACTCCATTCTGCCTTCGACATTTCATCCTTTGGAAATGAAAAAAATGTACGCCTTCCTGGAACTTTTCAAATTCACAAAATTTCTTGTTTATTTATAATTCATATAGATTTGTCTTCAAGTTCCTTTAATAATTTTAATTATTTCGAAATTTTTTTGACAAGAACGTCACAATTTTGTTTTTTTAATTCAAAATATATTTTGACATAAAACTTAGTAGTCAGATGGTCCTACTGGCCGACCTTAAATAGGCCTTGATGTTGAAATTTTGAACATATTTTTGGATTTTTCTATTTTTAAATTCGGCTGGAGAGACACTTGTCAAACATTTTTTCTGCCGATACACACCTTTTTAAAATATTGCCTCTTTTGTGTAAAGATAGGACAAGACAGAGTCAAAATATGGTAACCCTGTGAAAATACCTCTGTTGTTACGATATCATAACGACATAGTTACCAATGCTAACTGATTTAAACCGCTAAGGCAATATGCAAATTTTCGGGAAGGCCTATGGAATAGAATTTTTAAAACCAAAATTTTGGATTTTTCAAATTTTTATTTGTTATCCGTGTCTCTATTTGTAGTTTTTATATTAACATGTCTCTGCCATGAGCTGTTACTCTATGTATTGTAGTCGAAAACTATTTGCTCCAAATGCATTTTGTCTAGTCTTTAACATTTTAGGTCTTTGCTTTTGTTTCCAGTTTTCTGTGCAAATTTCAACTCGTGAACAAAACGCGCACCTCGGATGAGGGATAAAACCAAATTTACTTTCGTTTGAATGTACATACGCCATTCAACATTGTAGTTTTCATAGTGTTTACCACTACTCTTTCTACAAAATATTGGTCCTTCTGCTGTATGTCGATAAGACACCGTTACGCATGTGCTTTTCAATGTTTATACCCTCCACCTTGGGAAGTATATATATTCATAATCAGCATAAAATTCTAAGTAGATTTAACGATGTCCGTCTGTCTGTCTGTTGAAATCACGATACAGCCCACATTATTTGACGTAGAGCGCTAAAATTTATCAGAGTTATTTGCATTGTGTCTAGGATGGTTGGTATTGAAAATGAGATATATCGGTCCACGTTCTAGTATAGTCCCCATATAACGGTACCTCCCGATATTCGGTATTTTGATGACTCATGCCACATTTTTTCACGGATTTGTCTGCAAATTGGTATTTGTGGGTCATAACGGGTCCCTGAGCGTGTGGCAAAACATTGCATGTATAGGTCCACGTTGTGGTATAGCCCCCATATGATGGTAACTCCCGATATTCGGTATTTTAGTTTTTTTGTCACATTTTTTCACGGATTTGTCTAAAATTGGTATTTGTGGGTAATAATGGTTTCCAGCTCCGGTGGCGAAACATTGCATGTATGGGTCCATGATTTGGTATAGCCCCCATATAACAGTACCTCCCGATATTCGGTATTTTGATGGTTTTTGCAACCTTTTTTTCACGGATTTGTCTGAAAATTGGTATTTGTTGGTCATAATGGGTTCCAGCTTCGATGGCGAAACATTGCATGCATGGGTCCATGATTTGATATAGCCCCCATATAACGGTACATCCCGATATTCGGTATTTTGATGGTTTTTGCCACATTTTTTCACTGATTTGTCTAAAAATTGGTATTTGTGGGTCATAATGGGTCCTAGTTCGTGTGGCGAAACATTGTAATTATAGGTCCACGTTTTGGTGTAGTCCCCATTTAACGGTACCTCCCGATATTCGGCATTTGAATGGTTTTTGCTACATTTCTTCTAATGTTTCTTTTACCCTAAGGTGGAGGGTATTGAAAGTTTGGCCCGG